CATAGCAGGTTGTCTAGCCCACGGGCTCCCGGGGATTCACCGAGCCTCTCCCATCTCACGATTGCAGTGTTGGGATTACTACAGATACGCTCCGGTGTTCAGCTTTACGTGGGTACTGGGGATCTGGGGATCTGAATTTAGGTCCTCACACTGTGTGGCGAGTGCTTTACCCACTGAGCCATCCCCTCAGCCCCCAACACACCCCATTTCTTGACACACTAACACTTGTGGTCTGTGCTGGGACCCCTTCTTGTTTGTGTTTATTTATTTCTCTCATTTTTAGTCTCGATCACTGCTCTTTTCTTTTGTCCTACAATGTTCTTCTAATACTGGACAAAGTTATGTGTGTGTCTTTGATAAATAAACCAAAGTCAACTTGTTATCTGACTATATGTATGTCATCTTTTTATGTATCTATGATAGATCTATCATCTACCTATCTATCTATCTATCTATCTATCTATCTATCTATCTATCTATCTATCTATCTATCATCTATCTACCTGTCTGTCTGTCTTTCTGTCTATCTATCTATCTATCTATCTATCTATCTATCTATCTATCTATCTTTGTATCTACACCATCCATGTGGTTTTGTTTCACTCCCTTGTTTATTTGTGTGTGTGTGTGTGTGTGTGTGTGTGTGTGTGTGTGTGTGTGTGTTTAAACAAAATCTTGTGTAGTCCAGGCTGGTCTTGAACTCTCTATGTAGCCTGAGCTGGTGCCATTGCTTACTTGCAGGAGCTACAAGTTTTCAAGTTTGCCCCAACCTATGTGACCTATGAAATAAGAGGGACTCAATCATTTTGAAGCCTCTGTGTGGCTAGAGCCCATGTTACAACCATGTCTGTCCTGTGGGCTACAAGCTGATCACAAGGTAGCACTTCTGGTAACTGGGATAACTGAGCATGGGCTGAGAAGCAGCTGAATTTAAAGGCAAGGTTTCTGCAAGGAGGGAGCTCTGGTCAGAAGCGGCCAGATGGAGCCACTGTCCTACAGATAAGGCCTTATTGCTTTGATGATGCCTCATTTCAATTATGCAGATCTCTCCACTGGACCAGTTCAGAGGCCCTGTGCCCCACCACCACTTGGAAGAAAAGGCTGCTGAGGGTCAACAGTAGATTGCTTTTGCAGAAACAAGAGGAGAGTCGGGGGTGGAGCTGCTTGGTGGCAAAGTGCCTGTTGCCAGTCTGGCTGTCTGCTCAGCCAGGGGAGAGCATCTCCATGCAGGTACTCCCTCATGTCCCTCACCTTGTCTTTACAGGACTTTCCTTCCCTCCCTGCTTGCTCCAGGCCTTTTGCTACAGGATCCCTGGTAAACCACAGACTCCCAGCCTCAGGTCTCCCTGCTCAGAGTCTCCCACTCCAATCCAGCCTCCGAGTATCTAAGCACTCACCCACAGTTTCCCTGCGCATTAAGTACCCCACACAGACTGGCACCACCCTGCCCTGAGGCATGCAGAATATACAAGATCTAGCTTGGGACAGATGCTTGCAAATTGTTCCCTGACCTATGCACAGGTTTGAGGTACATGTATGCACACACGCACGCACACACGCACGCACGCACGCACGCACACACGCACGCACACACGCACGCACACACTAAATAAATAAACATAATAAAAACAAGACACTTGCTTGACCTTCTAAATTAGTATCCTAGGAACCCACAGCTATCTGATATGTATCCCTGGTAGGAACCCAAGACATGCAGGGCTGATGTAGGCCTGTCCTGTAGCCACAGGGGATACCCAAGTGTCAGGGATGGCTGCCACCAGCTATCCTACTAGCCAAAGCAATGAGCCTCAAGGATTTTATAAGAATCAATCTAAAAACCATTTAGAGCCCCTGACATCACTCTCACTCTCTCAGTCTCTGCATGGGTGTCACTGCCTGAGATTTAGGGCTGCGTGCTGCAGTGGTTGAGAATGAACATTCTGGAGCATGTAGGTTTGGTCTCATTTCTAGCACTTGTTAGCGGGCAACCCCGGGAAAGTGACTTGACATTTCTGTGCCTCAACGGCTATCTGTAAAAGGAGGTTAGTGGGGACATGGGACTCACAGACCTGTTGTGGGATTACATGAGTCACACTATGTGATGTGCCCAGGGAGAGCCAGCTACACAGTCACTCGATTGCTTGGCTTGCTTTGTATTTATTTCAATGGTTGCTGTAATGAGTTACCACAAACTGGGTGACTGGAAACAAGAACCCCTCTCCTGTCTACAGGCCTCAGTTGGGGGCAACTAGTTCTTGCAGAAAACACAGCTCATTCTGACTGATCCGTGGGAGCAACAAGAACTTCCACTACGTGGTCTGGCTGCCTAGTGACCTGGTATGTAGCCAACACCTCATGTGTGGCCATTGCTCCCTCCACGACCTCCTCTTTGACAACTAAGCCAACTGAGTGGACTGGGATAATTACACTGAATGAAAATGAATATGAAATTTGAGACCCCAGACACCCGGGACACTGTCAAACGAGGTGCAGCCCTGCGATGTCACTGGAGGGAGGCGCAGATGGGAAATGATGTGCGAATCTGAGTGATGTGAAATAAAGTTCAAGTGGATCCAGATTCAGCTGGAAACCTCTCCAATGTGTGCAAGGGCGCACACACACACACACACACACACACACACACACACACACACACACACTCAATCAACACAGAGCCCTGGGAAGACACTGGGGGAATGACTCTCTGTGTAATTCTTTATCTGTCTCCATATGTAGTTTTTTAGATAAATTCACTGTCCAAGTGGAAGTGGACTTTTAGAATAGTTATCTGCCAAAAACAATGGCCTCCTTTCTCTCCTTGTCTTACAGGTGAGAATAAGGAACGTGGGTTCAGGTTCTGGCTCTGACATGCGTCATGGGGGTGACCTTGGGAGCCTCTCCGAAGGGCTGCTGGAGGCTGTACCTCCTGGCACTGACAGGGTTGAGCATTTGCTGATACATGGTAAATGCTCACTAGATGTTTGTGTGAATAGATGCCAATGGATGCTTCTCACTCCCGGCCTGGCAGGATGGCATTAAGTCTGTAGTGTCTATAAGGTTTTCTACTTTGCACACCCCCAGGTGTGTAGAAGACAGGTCTGCTTCACAGACCCAGACCTGGGACCGCCCAGCTGTGAAGGAGTGGGAAAGACGACCAACAGGCAACTTGAAGCTAATTTTCTCCATGTAGTGGGTACTTTACTGACCCCAGGCTTTACTTGCTAGCTTTTAACCAAACAGGAAAAGCCCACTGAAGGTATAAAGTCCATTGAAAAACCAGCTTGTTGTGTCCTAGCTGCAGCTAGCAAGGGGCCCCAAGGAGGAGAATGCTAAACATGAGTTCCTCTGTTCTCTGCAGCCCCTAGAGGGGCTTGTAGCACTGTGAGATGGGAAGCCATTGCTTAAATGCAGCCAAAGATGATTTGGAGGTTGGATGGTGCACCTGCCTCCTAACTGCTGCGTTGAGAAGGCTGCAGTGCATGGCAGACCAGCACAGAGAGAATCGGGCAGGGGAGCTGCGTTTGGTGGGCCCTGTGGAGCCTGGGATGACCACCTGTTCTCTGGCTTCAGTGGACTTGTCTGTAAGAGAGTCAGGAGTAAGTCCAGCTGAGGGCCATGGGAGATGACATGCACACAGAAGCGGTGGTACAGAGGAACTGGGTTGCAGCCATGAGAGAAGTAGCTGTCCCACAGGTCTGCAGCTGTGCTGAGTCTGGGCATGGTGGGCTGGGGATAGGGCTTTCTTCTCCTCTGGCTGGTGCTATGGTTGCTGGGGCATGCTGGTCTGGCACTAAGCAGTGTTTTTTTGTTTTTTTGGATAGTGGGCCAGGGAGGATGGTGGGATTGAAATGTCCTTTGAGAAGAGATCGATAGGCTGTTTCTTGGAGGTACGTGATGTAGTCTCATCTCCTCCAGGTGGACTCCCCTGTGTCGTGGGGATCAGGGAGCCCTAGAGGGTGTTGCAGTAGGGAAGTTCCACGTTCTAATTGAATGCTGCTGGGCTCTGTCTCTGTGTAGAACTCTTGCAGAGCCCCTGTCCTTCATGCTCTGACCTGTGGATAACTTCATAAGCTTACTTTCTACTCAGCCACCCTCTGCCTCACCCTGCTGCAGCTGCATTGCCCCCTACACTGTTTCCCACCAAGGCCAAGCATGACCCTGTACCAGGGATTCTGCACTGTTATTAAATTAGCCTGGACTTTGTACTTCCCAGACTCCCCTGCTCTGCACTTTTCTCATGTATCTACTCCAATGCCATTTTCTTTGATAAGTCTTTGGGGACCACCACACCTCCCAACAGCCCATATACAGCAGAACACATTTCCAGCAGCCCATATGCTTCAGAACCCCATCTCTAACAGTCCACGTGCCTCAGAACCACAGGCTGGGGCTCACTCATTTTTGTTGCCCCAAACACTGCAAACCCCAGTGAATTTGCATCTGGTTCCGGAATGTGTTGGTATTTCCCTACCAATCACTGTCTTCCTTGGGAGGCTTGGAGTGTATGTAGGACACATACTGCAAAATTTCTTTGAGGTTTTGTCTGACACAGTGATGAGCACATTGCAAGAGTGGTCCATAATTCATAGGTTCAGGACACAATATAGGATTCCTGAACACGCTCAGCAATAAGTGACCCATTCTTCAGGAGGCAGTCCATAGCATCTGGGTCCAGCTCCCAGAAGAGACAGGACGGAGGAGGGACAGAGGAAAAGGGGATGGGATGGAGGGACAGGAGGAAGGAGGAGGGAGAGGTAGAAAGTGGGATAGAGAGGAACAGGAGGGAGAAAAGAGGATCTTAGTCAAAGTACATATGCTTCCTTCCTTGGGGCAATAATATGAGTTGAGACAGAGGGAGGCAAGAGAGAGAGAGCGGTGGGGAGAGGGAGGGAAATGAAGATGGAGAGACAGCCAGCCATCAGAGTGTAACCAGAGAAATTTCACCATGTCTTAGAGTCCCCAGGCAGAGTGATGGCTGGAGGCCCCCTAGTCAGGCCTACCTGGATGAAGGGGAAAAGGAGCCCCACAGCGAAGTTGGAGAGCCAGTTGACTGTGCCTGCGATAATGAAGGCTGCCGGTCGCTCTGACTGCTGGAAGAACTCTCCGGTCAGGATGAATGGGATCCCACCTGTGAGGGGAGAGTCAGGACAGGAATGAACCCCTAAGCAGACCTCACCCACCACACTGTCTCCAGAGCCAGGTGCTGGATCACCATGAAGTAAGGATGCTGTCTTGGCAGAAGCAGCAGTACCTGCATGAGGGAGGGTTGGAGCCCTTAGCAGCCCTCATCCCCAGAGACACAAACATTCTCCTGACCCAGTTCAAGGAGGACTAGGGCCAGGCTGAGATCCAGCACAGACTCTGAACTGCATGGGCATGAGTGATGCTTAAGGCAGCAGACATTGATGAGATCCAGACACAGCTCCATGTAGAGTGGGGTCACGTTCCTATAAACCTATCTAGGATTAAAATGCATTTAATGCCACCAGCTACCTGCTTGTTGCTCAGCCTCACCACCTTCCATGTACTTACAGCATTTGCGTGAGTCTGACTTTAGACTCGGTCTCCGAATTAGAACACTTATGGTTTGGATATGAAGTGTTGCCCAAAAGGCTCATGGGTTGAAGGTTTGGCCCCTAGATGGTGGGTGTAATCGTGAGACAGGACTGGTTTGTGAGGAGTCCAACTTAATCAATAGATTAATCCCTTGATGGTGTTAGTTAGAGGAAGGGTAGGCAAGCATTGAAAAGGTACATGCCGTTGCTGGCCACCTCCCTCTCCCCCTTCCTGTCTGTTATGGAGCGAGCCTCTCTGCTCTATCGATCTTCTCACTGTGGGTTCTGCCTTCGCTAGAGGCATGTCCTAGGAAGATAGGCACTATTGCTGGCCACTTCCTCTCTCTCTGCTTCCTGTCCACCACAGAGTGAGCAGCTCCACCCATCAATCCTTCATGGTACTATACCTCACACCAGGCCCCCCAAACCCGCTGTGACCTGTAGATCCAAACCTTTGAAGCTGTGAGCCAAAATGATCTTTCAAATAGAGTCTTCCAGTAATTCATCAGAATGATGAAAAATACTAACACTAGCCTGTGATCCTTCGAGCAGGCTGCCACGGCGGCATACCTATAGGGCAGTACAGCCAGGCAGGGGCCCACCCAGGCCCATCTCGAAGAGCTGTTGCAATGCAGGGTCAGCTGGAGGGAGAGTGTAGAGTCGGACAGGGATACCAACAGGAAGCAAGTAGTTGAGAACTCTGGTGTAATGCGTGGGGTGGGGGTGTGTTGTGGAATATTGCTGTAACTATGCAAAGGTGTGTTACATTTGTTTATGCTGCATTTGTTTAATTATGTAAAGGTGTGTTGCTCTTTTACCTTATCTGCCTAAGGCACCCGATTGGCCTGATAAAAAGCTGAACGGTCCATAACTAGGCAGAGAGGGATAAGGGAGGCTGGCTGGCAGAGAGAATAAGTAGGAGAAGGAATCTAGGTGTGTGTGTGTGTGTGTGTGTGTGTGTGTGTGTGTGTGTGTGTGTGTGTGAGAGAGAGAGAGAGAGAGAGAGAGAGAGAGAGAGAGAAGAGAATGAGGGAGAAAGAGAGGGAGATGGCCAGGGCCTGCCAGGCACCTGCCAGCCAACCAAACATCAAGTAGGACATACAGAATGAAGGAAAGGTAAAAAGCCCTGAGGCAAAACCTAGATGAAGAGAAACAGGTTAAAATAAATTATAAGAGCTAAAGGGACAAGCATAAGATAAAGTTGAGCATTCATAGTTAATAATAAGTCTCCGTGTCATGATTTGGGAGGCGGCTGGTGGCACAAAAGAAAGCCTGCTGCAGGGGTAGAAGACGTTGGCAAGTGCTTCATGGCTCCCTGTGTCATCACTGAGGTAGAGGAATACTGACTTGGATTTGCGTAGATCAATCATGCAGAGAAACAGCACTCCCCTCCCCACTGCCAAGTAGCATGTTTTCATTCTCACAGAGTTCTCTGTTATCCCTCCAAAGCGATGCTCAGGCTGGAGCAACGCCCTTCAGAACGTGCTGTCAGAGAAGGAAGCTGCTCACGTCTTAGGAGTGCAAACCGGCCCCACTTGTTCTGATTAAAGATGGAGTCTACTAATGTTATAATAGTGAACAGTCAGGTAAGAAACACAGAGTCTATCAGAACAAGCTCCAGTCATGGCTGGGGTAGAGTTCATCTTCCCAGTAAACATGGGGGACAAAGTTTCTCATGGGGTAATTACTTCTCAGGTAAACACCAGGTATTGGGGTGGGATGGGGTAGGGAACTCAACCTGGAAGGTACTGCAGTTAAAAGCCAACCTTGGAAGAGGGCCAATTGAGACCATCACATCCTAAACCTAGGACTTGGTCTTCAAGGCTGCAGAATGGGTGTGTTTGGTTATTCACTCAGTGAACACAAATGGCAGAGCCCTCACTGGATAGGACTTCTAGAGCTGGGTTCCCACAGCCTGGCTCTGAAGGGGCAGCGCCATCAGCCCTGGAAGGTCCTGTTATCTGGTTTCAACCCAGGAGACTGGAACGGATTTGGCATTAGCTTCATCTATTACAATTCCCCCTCATCTCAGGATGTCCGTCCCACCTCCACTTGTCTGTGGCACCCTTGCTGAAGCCTTAGCTGGTTTTCCATAGGGCCGAAGGGTGGGATCCCTTGCTCCAGAAGAGGGTTGGCCTAAGTCCTTCCTGTGGGATGCATTTTCCCTGTAGCTTCCCAGAACTCCTTGGTGGGACCATGTTGCTCTTCAGTGTGCCTTCCATTCTGGCCTGGTGCCCACTGCTGTCGTCTACTGGAGTCTCCCAAGGATGCTTCTTATTTGAGTCCATTCTGAGGAAGCCCATCCTGGCTTTTCCAGGTCCCATTCTGCCCAAGACTAAAGTCCACACAGACTTGCCCTGTCCTGAGTTCCTGTGGACATATGGTTCACCCACTGTGACACCCAGGGTGACCTACTGTCCCAGCTTTACAGCAGAGCATCAGGGATCTTCTCAGGGTCAGCCAAGCAGCCATCACCCAGTGGGATCTCAGCTTAATCGAGTCCTAAATGCTTAGAGAGGAAAGCTATCCAGCTGTGACTAATCCCAAGATGCTAAATTAGTCTACTTGAGGAAAAATAGAGCAGACAGGCTAAGGAGGGATGGAGCAGGTGGGCAGGCAGTTCATCTGGTGAGGGGCATGTCTGGGACCAGGGTGGGGCTGAGGTTTACTAGTTTAGTTAGTGGAGCTTAGACTAAGTGACTGGAGACAGCTGGCTGGAGAATGGACTTTTCCTTAGATTCTATAGCTATTGCTGTTTGTTGGCTCTAGTGTCTGCATGACCGGCCTGTCATAGAAGTCAAACCTCTGCCTATCTTTGCTAAGGGCAGGATGTGTGTGAAGATCCCCAGAGGCTGCCTGATGGTAAGGAGGCACACTTCTATGTCTGTTCTCATCCAAACCCTTGAGGGTGGCACTGTCATGGTCATCTGATGGCAGAGACACCAAGAGATCTGTCTTCTACTCAGACATTTAAGAGTGTAAGGGGGTGGGTATTTTATAATCAAATTCAGAGGCAGGTGTGGTGGGTATCTGTCCCAGACAAGCCACTGATGAGGGGACAGAGACATCATCCTGGGTCCCACAAGTGGCAAGGCAGGGCAGAGAGGGGGCTGGGACCCAAATGCATTGGACTTTCCCTGCATTCTTCTCAGTCAACGTGAATATCTTACCTGAAATGATATCTACAATGTACAGACAGCCACAGCAAGCTGCCTGGGCAGTTACAGTCATTTATTTTCCTGTCCCTAAGACTCTTTCTAGGTAGGCATATCATCTCCGTTTACAAGAGAGGACACTGAGGCGTGGAAGAGTGAGTTCTAGGCATCTGCGGCAGAGCTAGCATTGGGAACACGCTCTTTCTCAATGCCAGCCTGAGGCTGAGTGAGGATGCTTAGACGGAAACCCAGTGCTGGACAGTGAGACAGGATGCAGGGCAGATGGAGGCAAAGGTCCGTAAATGATAGCATCAGGCTCTGCATTTCTCTGCTGTCTCCTCCAGCCAGGCAGCTTACTTTCCCCTTTCCAGGCATCTCCCCCAAGCTTCTGCAACCTGTGCTGCAGATGTCAGGCTGGGCTAGGATTACAGATGTCAGAGAGTGCTCTGCAGCTGGGCCACAGTGACATACTGGGGTAGCTGTGACAAGCAGATGCCCTTTACAAGGTCCACTTTCCAGACCCAGAGGCTGAGCCCTGTGAGTGGGTGGGAAGCTGAAAACTCCCCTTGAGCTCCAAGCTGACAGCTGCAGGGCTGGACCTGTTCCAGGCCAGTCTCAGAAAGATGTTTGTTTTTCCTGCCTTTTTTTTTTTTTTTTTTTTTCAGTGCTGGGGACGGAACTCAGAGACTTGTGCATGCTAGGCAAGCACCTGACCTCTGGGTGACTCACAGCCCTCTTCCTGGCGCTTGAAAGGCAGTGCTAGGCTCCTCAGGTGAGGCCCCTCTGGTGGAACCTACTCCCTCAGCACCCAACTCTCTTCTCCTCAGGAATCCCCTTCCTTGTTTTCCTTAGCCCAGCCCAGCAGCCTGCCAACCAGCCCCCATTCTAACTTGTAACTGTCCATCACTCCTTCCTGGCTCTGGGGCTGGTGGCATCACCTTCTGTGCACCCACAGGGCCCTGCCCACCCTCTGGCTCCACCCATCTAGCAGGTGGGGTGACCCTCTTTCTGGGAGCTTCCCATCTACTTGTCTGAAGTATTCAGCTCTGAGCTGTCCAGGGCCTTCTGATTTGAATGAAAATGGCCTCCAAAGGCTCATGGTGAGTGGCACTATTAGGAGAGGTGGCCTTGTTGGAGTAGGGATGGTCTTGTTGGAGGAAGTGTGTCACTGGGGGCAGGCTTGGAGGTTTTAGATGCTCAAGCCAGGCTCAGTGTCTCACTCTTCCTTCCTGCTTCCCGAAGAACTCTCAGACCCTCTCCAGTACCATGTCTATCTGCACCCACCATGCTTCCCACCATGATGATAATGAACTAAACGTCTGAATTGTAAGCAAGCCCCAATTGAATGTTTCCCTTTATAAGAGCTGCTGTGGTCTTGGTGTCTCTTCATAGCAATAGAAACCCTGCCTAAGACAACT